CGGCGAGCGGGCCGTTGTTTACCCGATGCAGCCTCGGGTTCCTGAAGAAGGACCCACTGAGCGAGTAACGTACGTCGTGAAGCAGGCGCGCCTGACGAAGAAAGCAATCACGAAGTCACGAGGCTGTACGACCAAGCTGCTACAACCTTCCACGCTCCTTAACACTTCTTTTCTTGGCTTCCGGGCAATGTTCTTGAGATAACAACCGACTTTTTGCGACAGTACGCCACATCTAGTCCGCCTTACGATCTGATATGTGTACCTGCGACCTTCGATTACCGACGCAATAATGGGAGCTTGCGCATCATGTTTGGGAAGGGGTGATGGTAATAATTACGATGAGGTATGCTATCAAGCGATCTTGCGATCATAGTTCTCGCATCAATATCAGCAGGACCCTTTGCTAATGCTTTGTCTGTTAGGAGGAAGAGAACCGCCTTCTCTACGATGATGCAAACGGTATGCAATACGGTAGCTTCGGGGACCAAGCTATAAACGGAGAGAACGATACACTCGAAGCTCAGCGAGAGCTCGAGGCACTTCAACGAGTGATAGCCAAGACATCAGAGTATGTTCGTGAGATCAAGGGGCCATGAAGGATGCTAACCTAGAGCGATAGCAATATGGTGGACATCTTTGATATCGCTCCGCAAGAGAACACAAATCGTGGAGCAACGACACCTTTCGCCTATGCTGGTCAAGGTGCACGCCTTGCACGATACCAGCATCTCGTATCAAAACTTAGCAACCAGGGCGACAACAATACTGCGAGCGGTGTCAAAGTCGACTGGCTTCCGGAAGACGAGACCATAGAGATGCAAAAGAATGGTCCAGCTAGCATCAAGACTCTCGAGAGTGATGAGGGGCCTCTTGTGGGGACCTTTGCAGATGCTGCGGCGGCAATGCAGTAATGACGGCCTTTGAACAGAGGAAGACCCTTCGTTTACAATGCGGAAGATAAAGCTGAAAGCCCCAGAGTTGGGAGTCAGCAATTGCGACATGAAAAATGCAATATTCGCGATACACGACTGATGACGATACACACAGTACGTTTGGTGTTCAAGACCGCCTGCGATTGCCCCGATCTGAATCATCACCCCCCTGGTGGCTCAAATTGGATGAGGTTCATCCCGGTCTGACCCTCGCTGGCCATGTCGGTGAAGTGGCTAGGACAAGAATGAGCGGAAAAAGTATCGCTTATTTACCGACCCATTTTCTTAATACTAACCTCGACTAATACGGTCTTTGTGACCAATTTTCCGGTTTCTGCTCATTTTGTTGAAGCAGTGGAACCCTTCGGTAGACGGGGTTGTCGTTGCATAGAGCCTGATAAGCACTTTTAACACTCGGTGCAGACCTGCACTTCTATTTCATCTCTTCATCTCTTTTTTGGTTTTTGGTTTTTGCCGTCCGTCTTTTGTGCAGACTTCTTTGATTGTTGTGGGCAGGAAGTGGACTTTGTACAAGCAGACACACCCAATCGAATTTTACAGAAATTTCCCCCTCGTCTTATTGAGCTGGGTCCTGGAACGAAACCCTAGGCAGTCTAGTTTCAAGACCCTCGTCTCGTCATCGATTCGTACCATCGGCCTTTCTCTCGCAGCCTGCCGCGCATAAGAAGCACGAGCGATGAGCTAGAGTCAAAACCCATCAGTCCACAACGCAAGCGTGACTTGTCGAGAACCGAGAACACCCATTAAGCATCAGACACGTGCGTTCCCCTCACGCTGGCTCACACCGAATTCGAGGTGGCCCGGCAGTCAGTGGGGTGGCAATAGACGCTAGACCAGGGGAGCAAGGTCAAAGATTCTAAGAGGATGGTGGTCATTCATTTAGCTTGCCGTCGGCCCTTGATTTAGTCTGGTTTTCTCCGGCTTCGGCTCGCACCGTTGATGGGCGGCTTGCATGGGTCCCCATCCACTGGGGAGGTTTCGATGGATCTCTTTCGTCAACCTGAACAAGATCCCGCCCACGTCCCAAGCCTTCGGGATTTGTTTGAGAAAATGTCTGTCATGGCCCAGCCCTCCACCACGACACCATGGAGACATGGAATGGGGAGCCGCTCTTAGAGCGATCTGTACGCTGAAAAAAGAAGACAAATGAGAGGGACCCCCGGAATTTATCCGTTTCCTCGGGTGAGGAAAGCCAAATTGTCGGGAAGCAGCCCTTCATAGCCATCGGCTTCAGGAGACGTTAGGCCCCTGAACCCCGTTGACGGGAGGCTGGGCCCGTCCAAGACAGGGCTCAGGTTTCTGTTAAACAGGGACCGTCCATGCTAAGGGTTTCTGAGGAAGAAAGCTACGTACTCCGTCCTATAGTCCACTTTGGAAGGGTTAAAACTGTCTTTGTCTACGTATGAGGAACTTGACAGATGTTATGGGCGCCACAGGTCAGTTTGGGACGAACAAGGGTCCCATTACGGTCAAGGTGACCAGAAAGGCGGACAGCCTTGAACTCGACCAGTCAGATACGATATGGAATGTGTTCATGGGTTTAAATCGCATCGGCTTTTCCTCATGTCGTTGGTAGGTCTTGTGCAGGTTGGACAAGCAAAGCTCGCATTACGAATTAGTCACATGCTGCTGCTGCTCACCGTAGCCTCTTCTCGAACCTTTCGGTGGTGGGCAACCAACCCTGTTCAAATATGCAGACCGCATTCACGAACCGAATGCCTGCAATTATGGCATGGCATCACTAGCTGGCTTGTCAATTGAGTCTGAGCCCTGAAAACTATTATGTCTCCACCTTTCGCTTTGGTTTACAGGACTTCGTCTTTGCACCTAATCGCTTTAATCTATCCTGCTCAATGCCATACATGCTTGGTACTGCATAATTGCTTAATACTCGTTGAGTTTTGAGGCCCCCATGCTGTTACCTCGAAAGCGACTCTGACGATGGTATTAACCGCAAAAACTTGCTAAAGGCCGCTATATCATTCATGATTGGCAACTCTGTCACGATCAGCTCTAGATTTTGCAACGTCGATATTCATCCCCGTATCTCATTTCGTCACCGCCCGACTCCACGATGCCGCCCGCAAGCTCCAGTTCAATTTCCGCCTTGATTACAATACCTTCCCATCAACTCCTATCGGTCGATTACCCATGACGGAACTTTTATAAGCATACGCTCTACTCTACTCTGCGTCCGAAGCGCCGACAAAAGTTGAAGGCACAGTCCGTACTGTACTGTCACCGGGAAATGAACAGTTGGGGGCGGAAAAACAGCCAGATGATCTGAGACATTGAGGGACCTGGAGGCTGGAGCCCCGATGCCTCTGGTGTTGTGCTCTAGCACCTGCTTCTGCATACCCCCATCCCTATTCGTTGACCAAGGGCTTGGGGTTATCAAATACATATGCCCTGAAAACCCCGATAAGCAAGGGTATATGCCTTTTTCGAATGGTTTCCGCTGCATACCTAGGTATGTAGTCGACACTGATAGGCTAGATCCCTCACACAGCACAGGTATTTATCGGCGCCTGAGAGAAATAACACAACAGCTTCTCATTGACGCTACACTGCTCCAGTGGTGGTCGTTGATTTATTGCTATTCTCCTATTCGATGCGCATAGACGCCTCTTGCAGCCGAGTGCGTCTTTTGCGGTTGCGCTTACCTGTTGTGTTTCCTCAATCGATATCTCTCGTCTCCTCACGTTATCCATTATCCTCTCTCTGACCCGTCAACATGGATCTTGATGTCGAAGCCAGTCTCCCCAATCGTTTCTAGCTTCCAACTGTCGTCATCACACGAGCTATAGAAGCGGCGTCCCCGATCAACATGTAACAAGGAACTGAACTCTCATTGCTTGTTCATGGCCCACACCCCAAGCTCCGTCTGCCCATGCATGATGATGGCACTGCCACCCTCCCCCTTCTGCAATTTCTGCTGCATGCCGTGCCATAAAGGTCAGGGCAAAAGAGCTAGATGCTGCTATGCCTTCGTGTTGAAGGGCTTTACGCCACTTTGAGTGCTGACCTGCAACATAGAAAGAGTATGGCTTTTTTCAAGATAACACACGTTACATTGACCTATTGTCCACACGGTTCGCACCTGTGGGTATAAAGAAAGATATAAACAAGGACCTGGCAGCGTCTGGGTCCGTCCCACAGATGCCCTCTGCATGCCCCAGCTGTGGCCCTGAGGACTTGTTCGTTTTGGGTCCTCTCATCCTGTCTCTGCCTTGCCCCTCTCCCTCACACAGGTCCCATGATAATCCCCAATATACTGAAACTGTTGGAAGAGAGAAAAAAGAGCAGTTTGTCTGTTCTTACAGACGAATGAAGTGTAGAAAGGTAAGGATAAAGGAGAAAATATTCCACCGCAAAGCCATGCTCACAAGAGAGTTTGTTTTCACCTCCCTGTCTCCTCTTCTTCTCTGCCCCTCTTCCTCATCCCTTCTTGGCCGAGCTCCTTCTTTCGGCATCGACCGCAACGTTTTTCGTTTCTCGTCCGTCCAAACATAAAACAAGGTTGTCATAATCGTCATTATAGATGCACTGGTATCCCTGGTCGGTTTCCGCAATTTTGTATGAAGCTAATACTTCAACCATACTGTCCCTTCGCCATTGTGTATATCAGCTCGTCCATTGTCGTCGTTAGATATATCGCTCTTGGCATCTCGTCACTTCACTGCAATAATGGGTTAGCCACTCATAATCTCTCTCTCTCTCTCCTCACCACCACACACAATGTTCGTGCCCATGTCCATGCCTGTGCCCCGACACCCACAGACCACGGCATATGCAAGAAGCACGGCACCACCATCACTGACCAAGCACACGCCCCTCACACCCCCTTTTGGGCTTCCCGTCCCTCTTTTTCCTTTTCTTTGGGACTTTCTCTTCTATGTGCCTCGGCTCAGTTATGCCTCCAGCCCTTTTTCGTCCGTCTTTCTTGTTCGGGCTCGGACTCTTCACTCAATGCGAATAGAAATAAAGGAAAGGAAAGGGAACATCATGCTTCAAACTCACCTGGCCAAGGGATTGTAGCCTGTGATCATGCTCTTCTCTCATACGATAGATCTGACCAAGGACTTCTTGCATCTCAGCACACGTTCGCTCGATGGTGGCATTTCGGTTGCCCTCCCTCTGCCAGCGCTGAACGTCACGGTACATCTTGTCATACCTGCGCTGCTTTTTCTCTGTGTCGTGGCAGAGCTTGCAAACGTCTCTTTCGGTCCTGGTTTCGTAGACAAGCTTCAGGCCGCAAGTTTCGCCCATGCGGTATTCTTTGTTGCACTGCTGACGGAAGTGCCCCCAGCGCCAGTAGCCGCATGCCCAGCGGGTTTGGTCAAAGTAGCACATGGCTCAGTGGTTTCGAGTGTTGACGAGAGACTTAGTGGCGAACAATCGAGGCGAGAAAAGCAGGGTATCTCTCACTAATTCGACAGAAGAGGAGAAGAAGCGGGAACACCGAAGGCGGAGAGCGGAGTTCCAGAGGCGAACTCGTGGTCGATTCGAGCCGAACCCGAAGTTCAAGTCAACACTTGTCGAGTCGTGTCGAAGCGATGAAAGTCAGCCACCCTGGGGCAATTCAACGGTCGCTGAGGCGGAACGTTATAAACAATGTAAAGGTTCGGTTTAATCGAGTCGAGAAGAATCCTGGGATACACAGGTTAGTCACTGGGTCTCTTCTATTGTCTCTATGCCTTCTGTGCCTCCCCTTCGCGTTGGGCAGGCAATTTTGTTTCTACCCAATGCAAACAACTCCCACTTGTTAATGTCCATACCACTGGCTGTTTTTATCACTCGTTTGTAAACATGGCATTATCTCAACATGGCCACCGTCTGCCAACCCTTCATAACCTGTCGTACGTATTCCTGCCACGTAGTGTCTCGACAGATAATACATAACCAGAGCAGTGCAACAGGGGGGAAGAAAGCACACCTCGGTGTCGGTGATGCACTTGATTGATTTGAGAGAGTAAGATATATGTCAAACTTACTTGATATGTAGCTCTTGTGAGATGGACTGTACAGCCAGGCCAAAGAGTAAATATAGGAGCTGTATGGGACCTAGCAAAGATTTGGAAGCTGCTAGTTTTCGAATGCCCTCGTTGACATTGAGGCTAACCGAGTGAGACTTGTTTACTTCAAACCCGTAGTCCTCAGTCTTGGCTGCTGGTGCAATCGACTGCTTTGCTGTGCTAGGTGGCCGATATCTCAAGAGCGCCAGCGTCCTGGAGCCGAGATATGGGTCTGTAATTTCTCTTCTATAAGGTATGAAGTTGAAGTTGGCCTTGTAAAACAATGTATGATTAAGAAACTGGTCAACTGAAGGGCTAGCGTGATGTGTAGACTGTTCGAGGGCAACAGAATGATGAAGATGAGATGTAGTCCAGACCGAGTGGATGTCGAAGGCAACTTATACTTGTTTGATCCAAAGACCTTCTGCGTATTCGATCTTCGTGCTGTATCTGTATATGGCATCCCACATCCACATGTGGGACTCCGGCACAACCAACGAGCAATCGCATTCGTTCCTTGGACCCCTTGCTCTCCTCAATTCGGGCCAGATTAATGGCCGCCCATTATGAGCTTGAACTTCTGCTTTTGCTTGTGCATTTGCGCCTGCGCCTGCATTTGCATTCGCTTCTGCTTTTTGTTCCTGCGGGATAAAGAGGCTTGATCGTATGTGTCGATTGGGTATCCTTACCTAAAGCCCCATAAGGTCTTTTCTTCTCATCGCATCACCATCGTCCACCAGCAAAGATGCCATAAACGCACCCCTCCTCCTCCTCCTCCTCC